CATATTATAACATCGACTGAGATAAAGAATAAAATAAAATATTAAAATCACGATATATATCGCTGCATTGCGCGAGTACGCTTCTAGTATATATTAAAGGAAGAACTAAGGTTAATAATTTGACTTTTCTTAAAAGATAGAAAACTTATTTATCTTTTTTCTCATTCAACTTTCTTTTAATCTTTTTTTCTAATTTTACATTTTAATTTCTATAACATTGATTATTCATTTATTTTTGCATTTAACACTACTTTTTTCATTTCCTTTAACTCTTCTTCGTGTCTTTACTCTGTCTACATCAACCGATTTATTTTTCATATTTCATTTTCTTTCTCATTTATTTGTTCATTTACAATCTCTTTTTCTCAATTTACATCACTGTATGTTTTTAATTTCATAAACCATTATTTTCCAACAAATTCATTTTCAAATTTATTTTGAGAAGATTAATTCGGTATGCATTCCTTTTGATTTTTGTTCGGATTTTAACCTTTTTTTTACCTTTCTCTTATATAATTTTCTTAAGTTTTCCTCAATGAAACCAATAGTTTATTCTTGACAACGCTTTCAAAGTTTTGATGGCAACGGTGGTTTGATAACGGAATTTTGTGGCAACAATGGTCCAATAATGGAATCATGAAAGTATTGCAAACTATGATGTAGCATCAACAAACTTCAACATGTCTTTTTTGATGATTATATTTTTTTTAAGTATATTTTGAGAAAACTAATACATGTATGGTTTCCTTTTGAGTTTTGTTGAGATTTTAATTTTTTTTTTTGTTTAAAGAAGAAACCAAATATAATGAGGTGTCATCTTTTAAACATTAGAAACTTATCTTTCATTTTTCTTAGATTTTTGATTTTCTAAAATATTTGATATGTAAAAAACTTTTCAATCACTGTGTTTAAACACATGCAATTCATTATGATAAGGTTGTTCTGATAATTTTAAAAAGTTTAACCTCAAATATTTTCATCTTCATTCTTGAAGTTGAAACCTCCAAGCTTTTCCATGTGCTCCTCAATCATTTGTCCATCAATAAATCACTTTTTCTTTCTCTATATCATTTGACGTATTCTTCATTTTACAAACCATTATTATTCAACAAAATCTTTTTTTAGGTAAATTTTTTTCGCTCTCTCCATCACTTGATTTCTTCTTTCATTTTATAAACTGTTATTATTCAACGAAATGGTTTTTCAGGTTATCCATAATACTAATTTAGATATTATTTGTCCTCTTTATCATTTGATGTATTATTCATTTTACAAACCTTTATTCTTCAACAAAATCTTTTTTCAGTTAATCTTTTATTTCTCTATCCATCATTTGATTTGTCCTTTAATTTTATAAATTATTATTATTCAACAAGATCGTTGTTTAGGTTTACAATGAGAATACTAATTTAGGTATTATTCTTGACTTTTGTTGGGATTTTAGAGTTTAATTTTTTTTTTACTTTTCTCTTCTGTATTTTTGTTAAATTTTTTCAATAGAATTGAGAGTTTGTTCTTAGCAGCGGTTATAGAGGTTGATAGCAACAACAGTTCGATAATTGAATTTTGAATGTATGCATCAAAAAAAATTATGATAACCTCTACAAACTTCAATATGTTCTTTTTCAATGGTTATTTTTTTTTTCGAATTTACTACAAGAAGACGGATCCTACATTCTTTTTCGATTTTTGTTGGGATTTTAGAGTTCTTTTTCATTTTCGTCTTTTATATTTTTCCTAAATTTAAAATTTTATTAATTATTTTATTTACATGACACTTGATGTAATAATATGTATGTTTTTATTTACATAACAATTAAATTTAATA